ATTGTAGGATTTTTAAAGAATTAATTGGTAAATTCCTCGGTAAAATAAGTATTTGGTCACCTACAAACAAGCAAGATTTCTGGCCCTCACAGACCTGTAACTTCTTCTTTAAGAGGCTCCCCTGTCCTCCCACCTACAAACAAGCAAGCTTTCTGGCTTTCTGGCTCCTGTAACTTCTTCTTTAAGAGGCTCCTCTGTCCTCCACTCGTTACCTGTATTAATGGCATCTGTTTGAACGTTTGAACTGTATAAAAGACACCTGTCCACAACCTCAAACAGTCACACTCCAAACTCCACCATGGCCAAGACCAAAGAGCTGTCAAAGGACACCAGAAACAAAATTGTAGACCTGCACCAGGCTGGGAAGACTAGGTAAGCAGCTTGGTGTGAAGAAATCAACTGTGGGAGCAATTATTAGAAAATGGAAGACACACAAGACCACTGATAATCTCCCTCGATCTGGGGCTCCACGCAAGATCTCACCCCATGGGGTCAAAATGATCACAAGAACTGTGAGCAAAAATCCCAGAACCACACGGGGGAACCTAGTAAATGACCTGCAGAGAGCTGGGACCAAAGTAACAAAGGCTACCATCAGTAACACACTGCACCGCCAGGGACTCAAATCCTGCAGTGACAGACGTGTCCCCCTGCTTAAGCCAGTACATGTCCAGGCCCGTCTGAAGTTTGCTAGAGAGCATTTGGATGATCCAGAAGAGGATTGGGAGAATGTCATATGGTCAGATGAAACCAAAATAGAACTTTTTGGTAAAAACTCAACTTGTCATGTTTGGAGGAGAAAGAATGCTGAGTTGCATCCAAAGAACACCATACCTACTGTGAAGCATGGGGGTGGAAACATCATGCTTTGGGGCTGTTTTTCTGCAAAGGGACCAGAACGACTGATCCGTGTAAACGAAAGAATGAATGGGGCCATGTATCGTGAGATTTTGAGTGAAAACCTCCTTCCATCAGCAAGGGCATTGAAGATGAAACATGGCTGGGTCTTTCAGCATGACAATGATCCAAAACACACCGCCCGGGCAACGAAGGAGTGGCTTCATAAGAAGCATTTCAAGGTCCTGGAGTGGCCTAGCCAGTCTCCAGATCTCAACCCCATAGAAAATCTTTGGAGGGAGTTGAAAATCCGTGTTGCCCAGCGACAGCCCCAAAACATTACTGCTCTAGAGGAGATCTGCATGGAGGAATGGGCCAAAATACCAGCAACAGTGTGTGAAAACCTTGTGAAGACTTACAGAAAACATTTGACCTCTGTCATTGCCAACAAAAGGTGTATATAACAAAGTATTGAGATGAAATTTTGTTATTGACCAAATACTTATTTTCCACCATAATTTGCAAATAAATTATTTAAAAATCCTACAATGTGATTTTCTGGAATTTTTTTTCTCATTTTGTCTCTCATAGTTGAGGTATACATATGATGAAAATTACAGGCCTCTCTCATCTTTTTAAGTGGGAGAACTTGCACAATTGGTGGCTGACTAAATACTTTTTTTCCCCAATGTATATAATATATACAATATATAACAGCGAGAGAGACAAAAGAGTCCAATTTAATCCATCCATCCATTTATATAAATAAATATTTATAAAAATTATGTCTTTTTCAATGGTAAGTTTATTCTAAAAAAAAAAAAGAGAGAGAGAGAGAAACTTCAAGTGGAAGTCCTTAATGTTAACTGACAGTCAATGACTCAGTTTAGCTCTTTATTTCCATCCTGTTCATCCTGTCATTGTGTAAATAATTGTTTTAATTAATCAAGCGGTCTGATCTTTATCAGCGCAGACTTCTGAACACTGCTAAATCCTATTATGAACATCTCTTCAAATGAAACACAAACAGATTTATTTTATGGAGGTCAGAAGGTTCGGCAAAACAGGAAAAACCCAGAAAACCTAAGTAGGAATAGGCTATATATGTATATTCAAGCTAATTAATGCGATTCAAACACCTACACACAGTGCTGAATTAATTATTGATGCAGAAATAATTTACTCTCGTTAATAGCGATGCCAGGCAACTAATTACCGCAGTCAAATTTACATCGCTAACAAAAGAAGACAGAAGCCATGCGACTGACGGAAGATCACTGCAGAGAATTAGTGTTACTGTGGAGGAAAACAATCCTCAAAGCTTCACCGATGCCCAGTTTGTCCATTAAATATCTCTCGCTGCTCTCCAGGTTTCATTCCCACTCTTCAAATACTGTAAGTCTGATTTAATAAGGAGTTTACATATGCCAGGACATGAGGAGAAAGCTGTCCAAACAGGAGCAGGTCTCCGCAGGACGACAATATATGAAATTGTTTGTTCATTCCTCACCACTTAGCATTTCCCCCCCGCCCCTGAAGATCATCGACGCGCGTGAGGAGCTCAGCGACTCGGGCATTTAGCGTGCCCACCTCTTGTGCTGTGGTGTTGAGCTGGGTGGCATGCTGCCCCAGTAAAACTCCCTGTTGCACGAGAGCAGAACGAAGCGGATCCGATCCCGCTGAATCCATCGTGGTCAGATCGTTCTGTCAAGGAATAGGCTGGATTCAGGTGCGGGTTCAACAGAGGCTTTATTGTACAGAGATATATCACCACAGGCAATGAGCGCCTCTGCGGACAGTTCGTGTGAGCGTGGAATCTCCCACCACACAGATGGGTGGATGGCGACGACTGGAACCAGCCGCAACAGCGGCAGTGGAGACGAAGCCGGCAGGGCAGCTCGCTAATCCGAGCGAGAGGCTGAGCAGCCCAACCGCAGAGTCCCAGGGAAGGTGGATGCCGGAGGGAGCCCACAGGTTTCTGAACGCACACAGAGAGGTGCGGGAAAATAAACTGGAATCTACGAGCACTGGAGCCTGAATGAGACAAGACAGTACTGGTGAGCGATACCAACAATGACAGTCAGAACAAGGGAAAAACTCTCAACGATCTGACACAAGACCGAGAAACACGAGGAGCTATAAGGGGAAGCTAATGAGATGATAAGAACCTGGTGTGAAACAAGAGGCGAGCAGAGAAACAAAGGAGGGCGGGGAAACAATCATGCTGACAAATGCACACGTGGCGAGCTGTCAAAACAAGCCACGCACAACAACACCCACACGCAGAGACAGCAAGGAACAGGTGATCAGACCCGAGACCTGACAATAGTAATGAGAAAAAGATATTTGGTAGATTTGTGAAAAAAAAATTCAGAAAAAATAATGTCAAAATGCTATACAGTGGGGCAAAAAAGTATTTAGTCAGCCACCAATTGTGCAAGTTCTCCCACTTAAAAAGATGAGAGAGGCCTGTAATTTTCATCATAGGTATACCTCAACTATGAGAGACAAAATGAGAAAAAAAAATCCAGAAAATCACATTGTAGGATTTTTAAAGAATTTATTTGCAAATTATGGTGGAAAACAAGTATTTGGTCAATAACAAAATTTCATCTCAATACTTTGTTATATACACTTTGTTGGCAATGACAGAGGTCAAACATTTTCTGTAAGTCTTCACAAGGTTTTCACACACGGTTGCTGGTATTTTGGCCCATTCCTCCATCCAGATCTCCTCTAGAGCAGTAATGTTTTGGGGCTGTCGCTGGGCAACACGATTTTCAACTCCCTCCAAAGATTTTCTATGAGGTTGAGATCTGGAGACTGGCTAGGCCACTCCAGGACCTTGAAATGCTTCTTACGAAGCCACTCCTTCGTTGCCCGGGCGGTGTGTTTGGGATCATTGTCATGCTGAAAGACCCAGCCACATTTCATCTTCAATGCCCTTGCTGATGGAAGGAGGTTTTCACTCAAAATCTCACGATACATGGCCCCATTCATGCTTTCGTTTACACGGATCAGTCGTCCTGGTCCCTTTGCAGAAAAACAGCCCCAAAGCATGATGTTTCCACCCCCATGCTTCACAGTAGGTATGGTGTTCTTTGGATGCAACTCAGCATTCTTTCTCCTCCAAACACGACAAGTTGAGTTTTTACCAAAAAGTTATATTTTGGTTTCATCTGACCATATGACATTCTCCCAATCCTCTTCTGGATCATCCAAATGCTCTCTAGCAAACTTCAGACAGGCCTGGACATGTACTGGCTTAAGCAGGGGGACACATCTGGCACTGCAGGATTTGAGTCCCTGGCAGCGCAGTGTGTTACTGATGGTAGCCTTTGTTACTTTGGTCCCAGCTCTCTGCAGGTCATTCACTAGGTCCCCCCGTGTGGTTCTGGGATTTTTGCTCACAGTTCTTGTGATAATTTTGACCCCACGGGGTGAGATCTTGCATGGAGCCCCAGATCGAGGGAGATTATCAGTGATCTTGTATGTCTTCCATTTTCTAATAATTGCTCCCACAGTTGATTTCTTCACACCAAGCTGCTAACCTATTGCAGATTCAGTCTTCCCAGCCTGGTGCAGGTCTACAATTTTGTTTCTGGTGTCCTTTGACAGCTCTTTGGTCTTGGCCATGGTGGAGTTTGGAGTGTGACTGTTTGAGGTTGTGGACAGATGTCTTTTATACTGATAACGAGTTCAAACAGATGCCATTAATACAGGTAACCAGTGGAGGACAGAGGAGCCTCTTAAAGAAGAAGTTACAGGTCTGTGAGAGCCAGAAATCTTGCTTGTTTGTAGGTGACCAAATACTTATTTTACAGAGGAATTTACCAATTAATTCTTTAAAAATCCTACAATGTGATTTTCTAGACTTCACACACACACACACACAGAGGCCAGTACATCAAAGTTTAAACATACTTTACATACAGAAATATCACTAAAGTTAAAGTTTAAATCTAAATGGGCCCGACGACAGCAGGTCAAAATACACCACTGCCTTTTCACATTGACAAATTCTGACGCTAAGTGTATTTTTCCCTTAAAATAGCAGATGGAAAATAAGAGAGGGTTGTTTTTTGGTGCTGTGGCCTTGCTGTAAACATGAGTGTCATGGAAAACATGCAGATGGAAAGACAACAGAGACAGGCTGAGCTCACCTCTTCAAACTTGTCCTGTTTAGGCCACAGACTGACCACCGGCCCCCTGTCCATCATTTTAATGATGTGCGTCATGTCAATGTAGTTGTCCAGTTCAATGACTTTCTCCATCCACTGGAGGTCTGTCATGCCGTGATCAGAGAACAGGACCACGTTTATATCATCTCTCATATTCTTCTCCTGACAAAACAAAAATACATACAATAATGTGTTTTAGATGGCCAGGTAGAAGAGACAGCAAGTACTGTTCTTTCTCGCTTTCTTTCACCCATGTAAAAAATACCTTGATTTTCTGGTTGAGGGTCTGGAAAGCCTGGTCCAGTGAGCGAATGGCGCGCTGTATTTCCGGAGAATGTGGCCCAAAGTGATGTCCTTCCACATCGATCTTCTCGTAATAAATACCAGCCATGTCTGCTTTATCGCTTCTGTTTGAAACATATCATTCAAATATATATAAATTTTTTTCAGATTAGGAGAAATTTACCATTACATGACTTGCTCAGCAATGGATCCTCTGCAGTGAATGGGTGCCGTCAGAATGAGAGTCCAAACAGCTGATAAAAACTTCACAATAATCCACAAGTAACCCACACGACTCAATCTTGTGATGTAAAAAGCTGCGTTTGTAAGAAGCAAATACATCATTAAGATGTTTTAAGTCCTTTATCCATATTTCTGCTTTCTCCAGTAAAAAAAATGGTCATCTCCACCGAATCAAGAGAGAAATATTCACAGATCAAGCACTGTTTACAGCAAAAACAGTTCTTAAACAAATAAATCGCTTCATTTTGATGTGAGAGGACAACAGTGGATAAACTTTTCATTGGAAGAAGCGTTATTATGGATTACAGACTTGTATTTTAACCAGAAGTGACAGCTGAAACACCTTAATATTCCTATAATTCCTATAATATCTATAATAAAATCCTATAATAATTATAAACACAGCTTCTCACTTCACAAGACGTTAACTGATGGACTGGAGTGGTGTGGATTACTGTAATGTTTTTATCAGCTGTTTGGACTCTCATTCTGACGGCACCCATTCACTGCAGAGGATCCATAGGTGGGTTTTCTGCTGGAAGCTGTAGGGAAGTGGTTGCCATTTCTTTTGCTTACACATTTCTCCTGTTTATGGTTAGACAGGGAGATTTTTCTGAACTTATTTTTTTCCTTTTGTTAGTCTATCTAGATTGCTTTCTGAAGTTAGTATGCTGGCCTTGACCCCTGGTGAAGTTCTGTTTGCTTCCTTGTGTTAATACAATAATAATTCTGTTTTGCATCTATAATGGTGTTGTTTAAGTCAGGAGACAAGAAAACTCCCTCATTTTTCCACATTTTCTTTATTACCATCCCTGGTCTGGAGAGGAATGTAAAAACATGAAATTTGACACTCTTTACTTTCTACTGTATGTTTTTGATCTTATTGTGAATGATTGATTAATGCATATTATTCCAAATAAAATATTTTTTGCCTATATAATCTTTCATCAGAATGTAATAACTTACTCCCTCTTTTCTTTTCAACTAGCGTGACCTAGGTTGTGTGGGCTGTTGGCTAATTAGCATGCCTGGCTTCATCTAGGCAGAAAAGTCAACAACATTATCTGTGTTAATGATTTCTAGGGCTTTTGGTTTTACTTTAACATATTTAGAGCGCTCTCCATGGAGTCGATCAGGTTCTTCTCTGAAGGGTTGTACACATATTCCTCACAGAATGTAGGTCTGACTCCAAGAATCGTCACTTCACAACCTAAATGGACAGAAACACACTTTAAACCATGTGACCTGCATTTATATGCATCTGAGAGAGATCAAAAAGGCTTTTGAAAGTTTGAACACTCCACTTGAAAACCTTGCATGCTTTTTTAATGTCAAGTAGCAGTAGGAGTAGCTTGGGGTAGGAGTAGCTTGTCCTTTTAAAATGACACTAATCAAAAGAGTCTGACATGGGAGGAAGCTCTGTGTGACCGCAGTGTGTGGATATAAAAATCCCTTTATTGATATTTTACACTGCCATTAAAAAGTATGGAATTAGTACAATTTTAAAAGAAATGCATATTTTATTCAGCAAGGATGCATTAATCAAAAATGTCAGTGAAGACTCTAGGACCTTGGTTTCTAAATGAAATACAAAACTTGCTCTCATCTGAAAAGAGGACTTTGGATGAGATGCACCTGTACTCTGAAGCTGACAAACAACATTTTCTAAACTTTAAACACCTCACTTTCACTGACCCATTAATTAAAATTACAAAACATATTCATGTTTTATGAAGTTCAAGTTCCACATTATACTATGCTTATAAGAAACCAGAACAGATGTCCACTAACCTGGCCAGTAGTACATGTAGACTCTCTTCCCTAGTTTCTGCATGGTGACCCACAGCGGCTCTGATCCGTCCCACCACATGGGGAGACGGCTGTCCAGATTAGTTCCAATCAGGAACTCTTTCATGGTGTCTTTATCCCACATGTAATTTCCAGTCATCTGGTGCACCTCACAGTAGCGTCCTGAAACATGAGGAGGAGTGCAGAATAAATATTTACAGACACGAGGGTGGATTTCAATCAGCACGCCTCAGAGGTTCATTTGATAAAAGAGCTTAATTCATTTAATTGCATTGCTCATATGTTGCTCTTTTAGAGCTCTGGAGACTCCACAGAGCTTTCGGATATGTTTCAGTATCTTTGGATACCCTGCAACAACAATGGATCATTTGTCCACTCATATAATTCAAGCCCTATGGAGATGAAGGCACACAATGAAGAATATTTAAAATAAAGCATCAGAAAAAATAATTTCTATGTAAGTTCAACATGTAATGTTAATAACAAACCCAAGAGTGTTTAAGAAATATCAATACAATGTTCCCATCAAGCTGTCACAGCAAAATGAGTGTCTCTGTGAGTGTCTGACACCTGGAAACAGTTAAAGATCTTTGCCTCAGGTCAAAAAAATGGAATTCCTTAGCTGTTTGCTCTGATTTTTCTGATGATGTTGGAGTTAGAATGAGGCAGCCTACTGAGATTTAGCATGCTGCATTCACAGCAGAAGATTCATTTCTTCCAACAACAGCCAAACATATTGTCTCATCAGACATCATCTTTCAAATATGTGAATATGTTGAGTTTAAGGAACTCAAGCAGGTCTTAATGTTTAAGTTGGACTATCTAATGCTTTTATTGACGAAGCAAGATGTTATGTCAGCATCACAAGTTCCTTCAGAAATCATTCTAATATGCTGATTTTACTACTTCTACCTATTTATTATTCAATTTGGGTGTGTAACACATTCTGCACTGTTTATGGAAAAAACATGAATGATTCCTGAAATCATACAGCTAAGGAATTGTTCACCCAAAATTGGAAAATTTGTCGAGAATATTTTCACCCTCAGGCTATCCAAGATGTAGATGAGTTTGTGTCTTCATGGCAATGGGAACAGATTTGGAGAAATTGGATCCTCTGCTGTGAATGGGTGCCGTCAGAATGAGAGGCCAAACAGCTGATAAAAACATCACAAAGTAATCCACATGACTACAGTCCATCAGTTAACGTTTTGTGAAGTGAAAAGTTGCATAAAACACGAGTTCTCTCTCCATAACATTATGTTTATTCAGTGAAAAATTAATCTAGTCTGAACCCAGAAAGAAATATGCACAGATCAAAGACTGTTTACAAGCAGAACAGCTCTAAACAAATATGTTGGTGGATTTTGATGTGAGAGGACAAAAGTAGATGGACTTTATTACTGGAGAAGACAATGTTATTATGGACTATGGATTATGGATATAAAGTTGAAATGCCTTAATGGTCGATTTGTTTCTTACAAACATGCAACAGTTTACTTCACAAGATATTAATTGATGCACTGGAGTGGTGTGGATTACTTGTGGATTATTGTTTTTATCAGATGTTTGGACTCTTATTCTGACGGCACCCATTCACTGCAGAGGATCCATTGGTGAGGTGAGCAAGTGATGTAATGATAAAGATATCTCCAAATGTGTTCTGATGTAGAAACAAACTCATATATATCTTGGATGGACTGAGGGTGAGCAAACTGTCAGCAAATTGTAATTATTTGGTGAACTATTCCTTTAAGGAGAAGTGTGATGTGACTGTTCTAAGGGATGTTGTAAAGCCAATCAAAATTTGTTAAACAACACACACTAAAAAAGAGACCAAATTTAGCGAACACTGAAACACACTATCAACCGCATAGCAAGGCCATAGTGATGAGTTTTGTATGGGCAAGCACATTTAATTTTTACATACTCGCCCATGCAAATTTTCATATCTAATTTAATTTCAGTTTAGTTCTGGGATATCTGACGGCTTGGAAAAGACTAACCAATGTTTAGGTGTAATCTTAAGTCTTAAATTTAAACTGCTGACTGTGGACAGTACAAAGTGTAGGGTCAGCACGCCCAAGAAATGCAAACATTAAACAAACAAACGCCCTCCTTTAATAACACCAAAACCTGCTAAAACAATTAGCATGTCAAGAACCTTTGGCCGTCCCTGCAAGTTACAGCCCTAAGAACTACTTTATAGTATAACGTTCATTAAAAAATGACAAATATTACGCTCAACAGATTCAGTTCAGGTAGTTCATGCATACTTAAATATGAATTATGAAGTATTTCAGAAGGCTGCATTTGTGAGATTAAAAATATTGTGATATTATTACAAGTCAAAAGAACTGTTTTGTCTCTTAATATATTTTAAAATGATCCAAAGCTGAATTTTTAGCATCATTACGCCAGTCTTCAGTGTCACATGATCCTTCACAAATTATTCTGATACGCTGATCTGATGCTCAAGAAACATTTCATATTGTTAGACGTTTTTCTGTTTCATATTTTTTGGGAAACTGCATTTATTTGAAATTTGAGTATCATTATAAGTGTGTCACTTTCGATTAATTTAATGCATCCTTGCTAAATTCTTTTTTTAAAGGAAAACTAAATGCATTTAAATATTATATAAAGGCAGTAATGTTTTTCAATGGTTTTCATAACAGTTGTTCTAAGACAGTTTGCACTATGGATGTCCCTCGTGGTGTCCCAGCTTTGCTCTCATTGTTTGATTTCTTTGTCAAAGCTCGAGCCCAGTTGTCTTCTGAAGCTTTGTGGAGAGGGGAATGTGCCTAAATAAAAACAACTGCCATCAGCAGAGCGGTAAAGTGTTGGCTCTGAGCTGCTGTGATTGGTGGATGCCGGGTCAAAGCGCTCCAAGGCCTTTGTTACTGAAGTCTGGCATACAGACAACACGCACTGTATCACCATATGATTCAGCAACACACTTCACTGAGTCAACTGAGTGGACATGACCAGAAATGCTTGTGCAATTTTTATTAAATATTTTATCAAATAAACTAAATGTCTCTCAAATAATCATTATTAAATATGAATAATACACTCAATTAAATATTCATAACTCTTGATAACATTTTAAATATTTTGTTTTTATTGAATCAAAAACATAAATAGTGCATAATGGACACCAAAACCTAAAAAAAAAAAATCTATTATATTATGTATGTCTCTACAAATAATCATATAGTCAGATATTTTCATCTGCTGGTATACCAATAAATAAATAGAGCTGAGAGCGAGCTGTTTTTCTGTTGTCATTGTGGATGAAGGACTCATCATTTGTGCCTGGCCCCTGCGATCAATGGCCCTATTCAAACAATAATGAACGAGCCGATCTCAGATCCAACAGATCTCTATTGTTCTACAGTAAGAGTACTTTTAATGACCTTTATACTCTTTTTGAATTGTTTTTGTATATAAGTGTGCAACAAAATTTCACACAAGGAATGCATTATGTGGTAAAGCCCATTATGAAGTATTTCAGAAGGCTGCATTTGTGAGATTAAAAATATTGTGATATTATTACAAGTCAAAAGAACTGTTTTGTCTCTTAATATATTTTAAAATGATCCAAAGCTGAATTTTTAGCATCATTACGCCAGTCTTCAGTGTCACATGATCCTTCACAAATTATTCTGATACGCTGATCTGATGCTCAAGAAACATTTCATATTGTTAGACGTTTTTCTGTTTCATATTTTTTGGGAAACTGCATTTATTTGAAATTTGAGTATCATTATAAGTGTGTCACTTTCGATTAATTTAATGCATCCTTGCTAAAAAAATTTTTTTAAAGGAAAACTAAATGCATTTAAATATTATATAAAGGCAGTAATGTTTTTCAATGGTTTTCATAACAGTTGTTCTAAGACAGTTTGCACTATGGATGTCCCTCGTGGTGTCCCAGCTTTGCTCTCATTGTTTGATTTCTTTGTCAAAGCTCGAGCCCAGTTGTCTTCTGAAGCTTTGTGGAGAGGGGAATGTGCCTAAATAAAAACAACTGCCATCAGCAGAGCGGTAAAGTGTTGGCTCTGAGCTGCTGTGATTGGTGGATGCCGGGTCAAAGCGCTCCAAGGCCTTTGTTACTGAAGTCTGGCATACAGACAACACGCACTGTATCACCATATGATTCAGCAACACACTTCACTGAGTCAACTGAGTGGACATGACCAGAAATGCTTGTGCAATTTTTATTAAATATTTTATCAAATAAACTAAATGTCTCTCAAATAATCATTATTAAATATGAATAATACACTCAATTAAATATTCATAACTCTTGATAACATTTTAAATATTTTGTTTTTATTGAATCAAAAACATAAATAGTGCATAATGGACACCAAAACCTAAAAAAAAAAAATCTATTATATTATGTATGTCTCTACAAATAATCATATAGTCAGATATTTTCATCTGCTGGTATACCAATAAATAAATAGAGCTGAGAGCGAGCTGTTTTTCTGTTGTCATTGTGGATGAAGGACTCATCATTTGTGCCTGGCCCCTGCGATCAATGGCCCTATTCAAACAATAATGAACGAGCCGATCTCAGATCCAACAGATCTCTATTGTTCTACAGTAAGAGTACTTTTAATGACCTTTATACTCTTTTTGAATTGTTTTTGTATATAAGTGTGCAACAAAATTTCACACAAGGAATGCATTATGTGGTAAAGCCCATATTAAACTGTACCAGACAACAAAAAATGATTATGCTTGTACAGTATGTGTAATCTTCACAGGCATATGGAAATCATTTAGAGCTCCAGGAGTTCATAACATCTTACATTGCACTAGATTGCTATATCATAACAGAGAAAATCAGTGTTCAAAAAGACCTAAACTAATAACTTATGACTGCAACACAAGAAGTGATAGCCTACTGTAACATGATGATGGCTTCAAAGTAATTAAACTTGAGAGTAGCTAATATAAATAGGATATTAAAAAGTCGTGAGTAGTCATAATTGGTAAAAAAAAACTCACCTGTCATTAGAGAGTAATAGTTGGGATAGGACAGACTGGGGAAATCTGGAGTCAGGTAATCCACTTTAACACCGTTGTCCACGATTTCTCTAAATCCAGCCAAGTTTTGTAAATCGTCCATGTAATCATAACGGAAGCCATCGATCAGAAACACCAGGAGTTTGCGGTTTGCGTCGCAGCATCCGGACAGAAGGAGAATAATAACGGTGAGGTTCTTCAGCGCGACTCGAGTCATGATGCTCCGCTACTGAGAGCAGAACTGAACTGACAGATGGAGAGCTGAACACTCACGCGCTGATTCATGAAAACTCTCCGTCTCAATGGGCGTGTCCGGGGAGAGTCCACTTCCACTGCAGGGACAGATAGACAGCATTCTCAAAAAAATGTGGGGGCAAATTTAAAAAAAAAAAAAAAAAAACCGTCTCCCCTTTAAAAAAGGTTATTTAAAAAAATTATATATATAGTCCACTTCCACTGCAGGGACAGATAGACAGCATTCTCAAAAAAAAGGGGGGGAAAATTAAAAAAAAAAAAAAAAAACCGTCTCCCCTTTAAAAAAGGTTATTTAAAAAAATTATATATATAGTCCACTTCCACTGCAGGGACAGATAGACAGCATTCTCAAAAAAAAGGGGGGGAAAATTAAAAAAAAAAAAAAAAAACCGTCTCCCCTTTAAAAAAGGTTATTTAAAAAAATTATATATATAGTCCACTTCCACTGCAGGGACAGATAGACAGCATTCTGAATAAAATGTGGGGGCAAAAAAAAATAAAAAATAAAAACCCAGTCTCCCCTTTAAAAAAGGTTATTTAAAAAAATTATATATATAGTCCACTTCCACTGCAGGGACAGATAGACAGCATTCTGAATAAAATGTGGGGGCAAAAAAAAATAAAAAATAAAAACCCAGTCTCCCCTTTAAAAAAGGTTATTTAAAAAAATTATATATATAGTCCACTTCCACTGCAGGGACAGATAGACAGCATTCTGAATAAAATGTGGGGGCAAAAAAAAATAAAAAATAAAAACCCAGTCTCCCCTTTAAAAAAGGTTATTTAAAAAAATTATATATATAGTCCACTTCCACTGCAGGGACAGATAGACAGCATTCTGAAAAAAATGTGGGCACAAAAAAAAAAAAAAAAAAACCCAGTCTCCCACTTTAAAAAAATTTATTTAAAAAATATATATATGTGTGTGTGTGTGTGTTTATTTCTATAGCACCTTTCAAGAGCAAGTGTCACAAAGTGGTTTAGCTACATCAAAATTGTAAAAAAAAAAAAAAAAAATAGACATGACAATTAAAAGAACAGATTAGACAAAAGCAAGTTTGAAGAAGTGAGTTTTCAGCTGCTTTTTAAAAATGTCCACAGAATCCACAGACCGCAGTTTCAGAGGAAGAGCATTCCACAACTTGGGAGCAGCTACTTCAAAGGCACAGTCTCCTTTTGTCCTCAATCTAGGCCAGGGGTTGGCAAGTTCGGTCCTAGAGAGCCGCAGTCCTGCAGAGTTCAGCTCCCACCCTGAAAACAAAACTCACCTGCCTATAGCCTTAGTAATCCTGAAGACATTGATTAGCTTGTTCAGGAGTGTTTGATTAGGGTTGGAGCTGAACTCTGCAGGACTGCGGCTCTCTAGGACCGAACTTGCCTACCCCTGATCTAGAGGAACAACTAGCAGGATCTGATTCGAGGATCTCAGATTCCTACTGGTGTTATAGGGTTGCAACATCTCTTTTAAATACACAGGGGCTTGATCATGCAGTGCTCTAAACACCATCACAAGAATTTTAAAATGAATTCTGAATTTGACAGGGAGCCAATGTAAAGAAATTAAAATTGGGGTTACATGATATCTCTTTGATGACTTAGTTCAAAGCTTAGCAGCAGCATTTTGAACCACTTGTAAACGTTTCAGGGATGAATTATTAAGACAAGTAAAAAGAGAGTTATAATAATCAAGGCGGGAGGAAATAAATGCATGTATAATCATTTCCATCTCCGCTGTGGACACAACTGGCCTCAATTTTGCGATGTTTCTCTCAACTGATAAAAACAATTACGAACCAAATAGTTCACATGTTGATCAAGACTGACGGCTTGTCCCATATGAACACCTAAATTACGAAGGGTAGATTTAACAGAATGTGATAAAGGACCAAGACTTTGCATCACTTTTGGGAGAACACCAGCAGGAGCCGAGATAAGTAGCCTACTTCTGTTTTTTCAGGATTTAACTGTAAGTAATTATTTGCCATCCAGACTTTAATAGAGTTTATACAATTTATAATTTTGAAATTTCATGAGGCTTAAAAGAAATAGTTGAATATCATCTGCATAGCAATGATAGCGAACACGTACTGTGTATGTGTGTGTGTGTGTGAGTGTGAGTGTGTGTGTGTGTGTGTGTGTGTGTGTGTGTGTGTGTGTGTGTGTGTGTGAGTGTGTGTGTGTGTGTGTGTGTGTGTGTGTGAGTGAGTGTGTGTGTGTGTTGAGATTGATGAAATTGAGATGCATACATCATCTGAAAGCTGATTAAATAAGCTTTTGGCTGAGATGCAACTATTTGAAAATCTGGAATCTGAGAGTGCAAAAAAAATCTAAATACTGAGAAAATCGCATTTAAAGTTGTCCAAATGAAGTTCATAGCAATGCATATTGCTAATCAAAAATTAAGTTTTGATATATTTACGGTAGGAAATTTACAAAATATCTTCATGGAACATGATCTTTACTTAATATCCTAATGATTTTTGGCATAAAAGAAAAATGGATAATTTTGACCCATACAATGTTTTTTTGGCTATTGCTACAAATATACCCGTGTGACCTATGACTGCTTTTGTGCTCCAGGGTCACACACATATATAAATACATATATGTTAATGGATATTTTGAATTTTCTGTATCATTTTAGGCTAATAGTTAAAAAAATATTTAAATATATTTTTTTAAATAATAAACAATTTAAACAATTAACTTCAGCCAAAAGTTACTCAAATTACAATTTTTAATGTGGCACCACGTTCAGAGCCATTGACAACATCCCTGCTGAAAAAAAAAATCAAAATAGAAACCATCACAGAAATTCTAATGGTAATACCATTACAACTATTAACCTTTAAAACCATTAAAATGGTAGTGTGTTTAGACACCCACAGGGATCCGTTTCCATTAAAACCAGTACAGTCCCCTTTATAACAAGTAAAACAATTACAAATTATGTGCTGGTTTATTTATTTCTTTATTTTCAGCAGGGATCTCAAAAACATAAGTTGTTTACAAAATCTCTTAACAAACTTGGTTAAGTATGTTTAGCTTATTTAATTCCACAACTCCGGTTACTTAATATCTCCGACGATTATTTAACTCAATTTAAGTTAGTAAGGCGAATACTTGACCCCTCCATTACGAACAAGCTAAATCTGATTATCTTCATTCACTTCCAGTAAAGGTTTTTTTTAAAATGCGAATTCCTGAATGGTTTTAAAGCAGCTGGCGTGGTTTTAAGCTCAAAATGATCCTAAACAGAACCTAAAAATCCTTTTCAAAACGTTGACCCCACTGAAAGTTAATAATTCAGATAAGCGGATAACTTGAGCTCCCTGTTGACACTCTAAATTAGGCCTTTATTTTCCCACTTGTATTTAATTCATTCATGTTCTTGGACATATTTAAAACCTGCCACCCCATTTTCACTGTTTAGCAGAGCATCATACCAAAAACCCTGGCTGATGGTTGAACTGGCCCACTATTAGGCTACAACTTGAACAGTTTTAGCTTAAGTTTGCTCTAAACGTTATATGATCTGCACTGACCTCTGCTGTGTGGAAACTGATAAAACAGCCCTTGTAGAAACAAACAGAATTGTCCCTCCTCTGCCACTAGGCCGTGCAATAACCTCAGCTTTATGCCCTCATTGAAAACTCAAGTCTACAGAAAAACAACAAATATGAGAAACCAAGCCAATATAAATGGTCCAACAAACCTCTGCTGCAGTTCATTCAGATTATTAGTTACACTGAACTCTGTTGATATGGATTCAGTAGATAGAGTTAGAACTCTGTCCCAATGCAATAAAATTGTGCAATAATGTTCAGAAATATGTTTGCTACAGTGATCGTGTCTTTGTCACAGTGACCCACACTCTTAAAAATAAAGGTGCTTCACGATGCCATAGAAGAACCTTTTTGTCTAAATGGTTCCATAAAGAACCTTTAACATCTGAAGAACCTTTCTGTTTCACAAAAGGCTCTTTGTGGCGAAAGAAGGTTCTTCAGATTACAAAAAGGTTAGAAAGAGATGGTTCTTTAAAGAACCTTTGACTGAATGGTTCTTTGTGGAACCAAAAATGGTTCTTCTATGGCATCGCTTGAAGAACCTTTTGAAGCACCTTTATTTTTAAGAGTGCAGGTGCAATTAAGAACAGCAACTGAAACCAAAAGACAGACACACCGTACTCCTTCATACACGCACAAACACACACAGGCCAGATCACTGTACACAACATGAGCACGAGTTGTGTTAAAACCAGCTAAATAAGAAGCATTGCACAACATTCATTTAGCAGTTACAGTCTCTGACCTATAATAGAGACATTATATAGGCCTATAGATCAGTGGTTGCAGTACTATTCTGGAGGGGGCTAACACTTTGTGTTAAAAACGATTATGGATCATGAAAGTAGTTTTTTTTTAATTGAAAAGTGACATGTGTACAAGTGATGTGCCCAGATAATCAGTTATGTGAACATGCACATTTTTAATGTACCAGACGCTTCAGTATATCTTATGTGAGGTTTAGCTCCCTTCTTCATATATTTGCAAATTTTAATAATAGCCTAATTCATGAGTTTTAGATAAAGCGCTAGTCGTTTTTTCATGTGACCACATTCTCTTGCAAATGTCAAGCACTAAAGCAATATCAATATCTGAAGCAATATACACAGTATGGCAGAAAAAAATACATTCCTTCATAGTGTGTTGACAGATCAGAAATCATGTCTTCATTAATGTTAACATTCCACTCATGCTGAGAATCCACTTGCAATGTAAAATGTTGTCAGCTTAATGAACAGCTTAACTTTGGCAACGGTTGGAATAAAAGAAAAATGTATTAGCAATTGACAAGGATATTGGTAGATGTGACACAAGGGGAAGCTAATGTTTCTGCGTATCATCTACGTGGACATGGTTATTGCCCAACACTCGCAATATCGTCTGATTTATTAGCCAAGTCAATAGGCTATTGTATTATTCACCTTATTTTGCTACAAGGAAGTAGCTATTTTCTGTAA